TTTGCATGTGCCTAGTACTTTATGTGGGACATATGCACAGGCAGTGGTTTAGCGATTCGATTCAAAATGGCCGACTGGCAGCCATCTTGTTTTTTGAAAATGTTGTATTTTGGACATGCTTTGTCAGTTGTCATTCAAACTTGATACATAGATTATACATGTTAGGATACATGTCCATGACGATTTATTTCACAATTAGATCAAAGATGGTCGACTGGCAGGCATCTTGTTTTTGTTTTTTATGCGGTATCTTGGACATGCTCTGTCAGTTTTCATTCAAATTTGGCACATACATGTACTTTATACATGTTAGGATGCATGTCCATGACAATTTGTTTCAAAATCTGGTCAAGGATGGCCGATTGACAGTCATCTGACTTTTTGGCCTTACTACTATATTTCCACAATTTAAGTACCATTTTCATTCAAATTTAGCACATACATCATACATATCAGTGTGTTTCATAATCAGATCAAAGAAGGCCGAATAACGGCTGTTTTTAGTTTTTGGCCATAAGACTACTACACGGAACACGTGTTTTGATGTAAATAAACAATCTGTTGTATACGCCACTTGGAACTCAAGTTTCAAGGACACGCTTGCGACAACCCCTCCGCTTTAATATGACGAGCACAAAGAGAACTTTCAACAATTTTACAGGGACTGTGTCATTTTCAATGAGTTGTTGTAAATTAAATCGGGGGAGTCGTCACCTGCACATGCGTCAGATGGCCATAGCGTGTCATTGTTTACAAACAAGCGTCTACCCATGAGCTTTTGCATTTTTAGTGTGTGTTATCGTTGCTTGGGACTCAATTCCCGCACGTTCGCAGGTGACGACCCTCATGCTTAAATCTGTCTCTAATTTGCACCTGTGTCACATTTTATCCTTGACAGTTACTTTAACAGATATTGAATTCTTAGAAGTATTAACTGAGGGGATTGACAGGATTTTAATGGTGAGAGGCGGAGGAAGAGAGGTGATTACAATTTATTCATGAGGCAAGACGGCAAAACTTCACAAGTATGTAATTCAGAAATATGGCGAAGATTGGTTTCTATTTTCAAACTTTGTGGATTTTCTTTGTTTCTCTCTTTTTTGGATCAAAAGTACTAAGTCACATACTGTGAACAAAATTCCATAGCATTCTCTAAATTTTGTAATTATATTTAGTGAAATTGTATTTTTTATTATTATTACATCAGGCCTATTCTATATTTGTGTCTTATAAGTTTACAAGTCTTTGAATTTAAATATTGAACAAATCATGTTTTATCAGTGCTAGCAAAGCAATTTTTTTTAAAGAGTACTTTTTAAATACAATTTACGTTATTTTGTATAGATAGTGTGTTACTATGGTGACATGAAAAACATATTTTTGTGACATAAATAATCCACTTGTACACGTCTGTGGTGTAATCAGGTGTATCTATAATCCAGTAATTTAAGTATGACAAAAACGCATTAAAAATCAAAAATAAATTGAATTATGCAATAACTGCTTTATGCATATTAAATATTCCTGCCTTTCCCAATCTTTCAAGTTAGGTTTTTATGAAATCTCTTCTCAGGTGTATTTGTTTTTAATTTTCATCGTATTTGCTATATTATATGGAATGCATATAATAAAAATCATGAATGAGAGAATTGTTGGTAATGGATAAAATCTCACTGTTACATATTACAACAAGCCTAGACAGCATGTACAGCAAAATTTGTATATTAGTTGTATTGCCTGGCCTCATAACGCTATGAGAAACCTGCTGAGCAAAAGCAGTGCAATAATTTTCCATGTCATGCATACCCAGGCCTGTTTGACCATATTTGGACAAAGGTATTCCTTTTATAGATTTAAAACAGTGCACATTCCAAGCTGGTTCCAGCCAGTCACCCATTACATCACAGCTGAAATTTGTAGCAAATTTGTTTTGCGATCGACAGAACAGAATTATGCTGTTAGGCTTTGGGTGATTTCTGGTTCAAAATAGTTACGATAGTCTTGTTGATATTGAGGTATCAATATGTACTGTAACACTATATACAATTTTCAAAATCCACATATTTTTACCAAAATTTCAATCAAGAAATTAAGTTCAATTTGATCCAAAATTATTCAAAAAAGAAAAATACAAGCAAAATTTTGTTGAGAAAAATTATGGCACTCAAAGTATTAATATTATTCATAACCGCCTTTCACCAGCTGCAGCAATGGTGGTTTGCACTATTTACAGACAGACTAATAACAAAAATATCTGCAGAAACAAGTGCAGATCCTTCTTGTTGAGCAAGGGTCATCTGATACTGTAATTAATGACCTCCATGCACACTCATGCCACCTCCCAATTCTAAGGTGACATTGTACATTGTATATGGTGCATGCTTGGATGTAGATTAAAAATGTCCTCTCTGTTCTAAAAATGATCCGATAAGATCAGACCACCACAGAAGAAAAATCATAAATAAGTTCTATGGTCTGTAATTTCTATAAAATCTTAGATCAAAGCATATCTTGATGGAGAAAATGTAACAAGAAAAATGTTTTTTTTTTTTTTTATGTGGATAAGATTTACCATTTTGGTTGTTAGCGAATGGTACAGGAAGGTGTTGAAAGCATAGACATATTTTTATTTATGTGAACCAGCAGTTTTTTCTTATTCCTGATTATTTTATCTATTTATACTTGTATACATCTCCTTTTTTTAATTAGTCCTTTTTAATACTTTTGTTGTTGTTGATATGTCATGTACATATGCTTTTTCTGAACATAGAGGCTAAATGTAATATTATTTTTGTGAAATTGTTTAGTTTTCTCGTGATATGAATGCACTGAATAGGGGTGTTAAATATCTGTCATTGTCATCGTTGTCATCGGTATTATACTGATAACTTTTCATGTGGTCATAAAACTTAATTAGTTGCTTTTCTTTTTCATACCAAGCTGTATTTTCAAATGGCAATCTTGCATGTATATTTCAGAGGTATCATTTTTTTAGTTTTATACTCAAAATGTTTTTTAAAAATATAACTTGCTTATTATTGTGGACATAATTCATGAGATATTAGTCTGATTGGTGCTCGATTTAAATTTTTTTGTAGTTTTCACTTCAACAATTTCAATCGTTGTTACATGTAGACAGTTATATTTAGATTTGCATGCCATATCGGAGGTTTCAAACAAATTATTACATATTAATCTTTTGTATAACGATTTTTGTCACCTTGTAACTCAAAATAAGACTGATTATTTTTTTTTTTAAATTATAATCAAGTGTTGTAGCCAATAAGAAATTATTTTCATTTGGTTTCATCAAAATTTTAAGAGTTTTGGAAAATGCATATACTGGGAACAATATAGTGTTCAAGGTCTTAAACAATCAGAGTAAGTTTACAATAGTTTAACTATGTTCTTTTTATTTGGTAAAATTATGAAATCATCTGATATTTTGTTGTATACCAGTAGTTGATTATGTGCATTTAGAGAGAGAGAGAGGTGTAGATAGAATACACCAATAACTCAGATTTTCAATCTCTTCCAGGGCTATGACAACCTTTTATTCATGTAACAATATCTTATTTTGATACTGTAAGCAATACTATTATGTTATATGTGTATTATTTGCTGTAAGTGACAACAGTCAGCACAAGATCCATAAGACTCTGTAAATTAATAGACCGTAGTGTCAAATAGTATCAAAACATTGCATGGGATTCAACAAACGCAAATGTATTTTTTGGTTATTTCCACACTTAATAATGTGCTATACACATTTAATGAGGGTCAATTTTGAAGTAAGAGGACGTCAATGCCATATTTCTCTCTGAAAGATCAGTATTTTGACATTGAACTACAAAGAAGTTCAAAATCAAATCATTTTTGTGGCCGACTTTCAATCAATCAATCAATCCATGCTTTTATATGAGATCTTGCAGTGAACTTAAAATTATCTCGTGAAACCATGTAATAATAACACACACCAAAGCCTTGCACTAAACATTCTATTTAAAAAAAATTCTATTTAACAATTTTAAGCACTATGTTATGTCTATATTACAAATGTTGTCATTAATGTCATGCAATATATTGCGCCACAGTCAACCCACATCATTCCGGCAAGATGTAACATGCATATTTTTCCTCAAAAGTGCTTGCCGACTTCCAAACATTTCCTGGTACTGTGGAATACTGTAGTTTTAGCTTGGAATTAATTTTCGCTGAAGGAATGATTCAGTGAAAATAAAATCCAGCGAATATACCTTTTTTCCTATCTTTTACATTCAACTCACCAAAAATCACTGAAAATAAATTCCATATAACACATTATAAAAAGTCATTTCAGCGAAAATTAATTCCAGCGAAAATAAAGTATTTTACAGTATGTATATTTGCATCTTTGGATAGAGATTTGTTGTTCTTATATTTGATTAAATGTATAACAGCAAATATATTAATGATGCTTTGTCAGGTTCAGAGGTTTTGTAATAAAGCACCATACGTGTAGAAGCGCAAGTACCTTGTGTAGTCTTCCATGAGTCCTGTCTTCGTCATGACATACCGGTAAACCAAATTGATGTCTATGTGCTTGAGAAAACATGAAGGTGGATGTGTACTTGATTTGTAATTGTATCTTCCTATTCTGTCAGGCATACCTTTATTTTCAAGAAATGTATATTTGTATTATAGGCAATCACCAAATTAAAAACAGTGTTTTTTTTTTATAATACAAAGTTTGACTGGTGAAAATGTAAGTATATGTCATCAAACTGTCTGTCGTATGGATGTATGTTGTGATTTCTGTGTAATATGTGGCTCTCTGAGCACTCGTTTATTATATTCTATCCATAATTAGAGGACACTCAGAGCAAATTCAAACCTCTGCCACAGCTGCTTATGTCCTTGTCTTTATTAATATCTCTACTCTATTGTATTCATACAACTTTTTATGAGAAAAAACCCTTTGTTATATTTACTTGCGTTTTCAGTCTCTTTGTGAAAAGAAAATCAAAATTGATCTTGAATATTTTTTTTACTGAACGAATTAGACAGCGATTCTATCTACCTATGAATAATCATTGAAAACATTTCTGTTTTCATGACTATGAGATCCAGATCTTCCTCAAACGATTTTTCATGAAAATTCCTGAACATTTGGAGTTATAAATGGAGAAAATCGCTTCCATGGCAACCAGACCCAAATTTTCCCAAACATGTATTTGATTGGAATCTTCCCTGAAAATGTCATGAACATTCGTTCATAACTATACTAGTTACCAATAGACTAAATTCCTGTTTCAATGATAACCACATCACTACCAAAATGACAATGGCAACCCATTCTGAAAATTTCATGGAATTCATCTTAAACTTTTTGAGCTGTACCGCTTTCTGATGGACAAGCAAACCAATAACCAAAATTGTGTAATTTGCTGCAATGAATGGTGTATCTGTTCCATTCAAGACATAATCCCCTCTTATATCCTTTGATACTTCCCCTATATTTGATCGTTTCGTATTACCTACAGCCATTAGAAACCATAGGACGGATTCTGTAGATGTGTTATTAAACTATTATATAGAGCAATACAAGACGTTGCGTTGCAGGTAAGGAAGCAATATATCATTACACAATACCCAACAACGCTTCCGATCGTGAAAACAAACGTTAGTTTTATGTAGGGTTTGGTTTGTTTTGCAATTCATTCCAAGAGCAGAATAAGTCACCCATCATCCCACAGAAAATGTATGCATTCGCTACAATGTTCATTTCGTCAACATTTCTAGATTATTGCGCACAGTAACTTTGACTTCTCTGTGTGGGTCTGTATGTGAAAATAAATAGGTCAACATTGTTTTATTAGGTGTACTAGTGTTGGGAATCGCGAATTTTATATTGCAAAAATTATGGTTATATTTACACTACGAGTAAATACTAGTAGTATAGTATATTTTATTTGACACTAAATAATATATTTTATTACATTATCTTATT